GCCTGGAGCCTCCTTCGGATTCTGTGTCTCCCTCTCTCTCTCTCCCCCTCCCCTACTCGCACTCTCTCTCTCTCTCAAAAATAAATAAAAAACATTAAGAAAAAAAAAAAGAAAAAAGTTGAGGGGCTCCTGGGTGGCTCAGTCGGTTAAGCTTTCAACTCTTGTTTTTGGCTCAGGTCACGATCTCGTGGTTTCTCGAGTTCGAGCCCCACATTGGGCTCTGTACTGACAACGTGGAACCTGCTTGAGATTCTCCCTCTCTCTCTGCCCCTCTCCTGCTCGCACTCTCGGTCTTTCTCAAAAATAAATAATAAATTAAAAACTTAAAAAGAAAAAAAAATGGAAAAATAGCCGGAATGGCCGCTTACCTGCGAATGTTCGTTTGGAAACCACCTGGCCCCTCAACATTAGGGTGGAAGCCGTGGGTGGAGGCGAAGGGAAGGAAGGAAGTCTTGTCCCCCAGAGCCCCAGGCCTGATTTTATTCTGCCTGAAGAGTCCTCTCCCATTCCCAAATGTGTGAACCACAAGGCCACAGCTCTTGCCGTATTTTCCCTGGAGATAGCGCGGGTGACACGAGGAAAGGCCAGCAGATCAAGGGGGTACAGGTGAAAAGGCCGGGGCACAGAGGCCAGATGGTGGGTGGGCCTGGCCTGGGCCTCGTGGACGTTGTGACTGGTATGGGCTCTCACGTGACCCCCACACACCCAGCCCCTCCCTCCAGGTCCCGGGACCCCTGCTGAGCTTGTCTGCCAGGGGGTGGGGGCAGGTGGGGAGAAAGGCCGGCCCCTCCCTGGCCCCGGGCGCCCACCAGTTGCACCCGGCTCCTCCGCTGGATCAAGGTGACTCTCACCTTCACCAACCAGGGGAGGCGCGTCTCTCCAAGTCCCGCCCCCCCCGCCCTACGTCAGTTGGAGGATCTGACAGCGAACGGATTTACAGACATTATGTAACACTGTATTCTTTCTGTGTAGATTCTTCAGAAAGCGAACTTGGCATTTTAGATCTTATTCAAATATCTGTGGAAACATTAGACAAGTGCTTTGAAAATGGGAGTTGGATTTCATTTTCCACGTAGACGAGGCTCACAGTATTCTTTTCATTATTTGTTTTGAGAGACAGACAGCGCGCATGGGAGGGGCGGGGACGGAGGGAGGGTGGATCCCAGGCAGGCCTTGTGCCATCGCCGCGTGGAGCCCAATGTGGGCCTCAAACCCAAGAACCGGGAGATCATGACCTGGGCTGAAGCGAAGAGTCGGTTGCTTAACCCACGTGCCCCAAGCCACGCAGGTGCCACGAGGTCCACAATATCGTTGCAGAAATGGTGGCTGGGGGAATGGGATTGGAGACCAATGTCCGGGACTTAGAGGGAAGCACACAGCACTCTGGCCAGCGGGCGCTCCAGCCCGTGCTGTATCAGCCGCACAGAACAGGAGTCTTCCCGAGACCCCAAGAAATACCAACGTTGGTGACATCAGG